GCACTGTCAAATTATCACTAGGCTTCGCTCCATTCTTTTCCTCGTATGGACTGTTCCATGGACTATGCACAACTTTATTTGTACTGTTAAAGTGGGGGCCCATATTTTGTGTCCTCCCCTCATTCATACTGTACTGGTAAGTATCATTTCGCATGTGCTGAGGCGACCCAGACTGTACACCTATAAAACGGGGAGAGTATGTTTCTCCCCCCTCTTTTTTCATATCCGCATTGTTAAAATTGCAACCATCGATATAGTTGCCGGTTTGTGTATGTCCCCCACATTTAGTGGGAATTCCTGCATCTGTGACTGTCTGTAAGTTTCTCCGATAGTTGGCCCCAAAAAACGGGTTCACCTGGTTGGACAGGCTTAGTTGGTTCAACTGGTTCAATGGGCTTAACTGGTTCTGGTACGCCACATTTCTATACGTATCTGTAAATTGTCCCTTCGATAAAACCTCGCCACTAATCCCGTGATTCAGATAGGCTACCTCACTCGGCAGTCCACTTCGAAACGCTGACATGGCCATACTGTGTCCACTTTGCATCGCTTCGAAGTTATTCATCATGTAACTGTAGTTGTTCCTTCGCCCATGTTCGCCGTCCCATGCGTCGTTGTGTGGTCCTGTGATTATGATTCCATTCTGGTCGTAGAAGTTGACTGAACCGCACGACCCCCTTGCGTATTCCTGTCGATTTGGGGGCTGCCCATCAGTAGTCGTGTAGTTTCCCTGATCATAGATGTGTCCACTGCCCTCTATGCAGCCGCCCAAACCGCGCATACCGCTGAGACCGCTCAAATGACTCAAACCGTTCAAATCGCCGACCACCCGGTTCCCCATGAACGCAGTGAACCCTTGCGAGATGGTCGAATGGGGCGAATTTTGAATGCTGCTCAATTTGTCTCCGTTCTGACAGTCTAAAACCTTTTGCACATTTTTTAAATCATGTCTTGTAATCCCTGCATAGCCTCCTCCGTAAAAGCTTCCTACCGCTGATCTTCCATTGAGACTATTTTCTTCATATACACTTTCTTTACATGTATTTATCCTTTTATTCACGAATATTAGATTCGATTTTGCGTCCACATTTTTGGGTTGATTTTCCTGTTTCATTGTCCCCTCTGCGTGACTCGGATTCGCTAAAGATTCTCCTCTTTCTACGCTCAGATGGGCACGTCTGCTGCTTATGCGGCTCCTCTTACGGGGGTTATGGATCCCCACCTTCGCGTCTTTTCTCTTATTTTTGGTGTGCGTTTCTGTTGTCTGGCTGCCCTTCCGCGGGGGTTGCGCACTTTTGGGCGTCGCGACATCCTTTTTGTGGCTGCTCTTCTTGCTGCTCTGTGGGGGATATACTCCACGGTTGTTTCCGGCGGGGGGATTCACTCGGTAGTTTATCGCCTCAGCTTCTTCTACTCCAAGGGGGTTCACTCCTGGTTTGTCTACTTCACTGATGGTGAACCCCTGAATAACCACCGCTCCATCACCCACTGTCTGACTGCCGGGGGCGAATTTCGAGTTCCTAAACTCCAGTGCCAGATGACGCGCCTTGTAGAACCCGTACTTGCACACGGGGAAGTGCTTCTGAATCTGCTTGTTGTTTTCGTTCTTCCAATAGGCAATCCACCTGATCTGGTTATGGTCGAAAGTTAGGCCCTGGATTTTTATCATCTGTTTAGCTAGCATTCTGTAGTACTTTCTCTCGTTTAGTGGAATGCCAGTTCGCTTCTTCTTTTTTTTACAATCGCTGAAATGTGTCAAGTTATCTTTGCACATATCTACTCCGTCCTTGTGAAAATATAGCAGAGCGTCATTCATCTCCTTCTCAAATGAGCTGTAGTTATCCTTCCTGTAGTCACCATTCGTGTAATTATCCCTTCTGTAGTCACCATCCCTGTACTGATCATTCCTGTGGTCATCATTCCTGTGGGCCACAATTTGCTCGTGGCCATCTGGATATCTACCCATAGGAATATTTCCACTCCTATGATAATTATCCATAATACATGTATCCCCTTGGGACCATTTGGCATCTACCATGTGAATCCCTTTTCGTTCGCCGAAACGGGTTCTACTCGTCCTCAAGGCTACCCCATGCTCATCGGGTGTGTATCCTAGACTTACCAACGTTCTAGGAACTACGCCTACGAACTGATTGTCCGTGCTGTACTTACCTTTTCTTAATACATCTTCTGAAGTGAACCCATTTTGGCTTCCCCCGGATGGGCTGAAAAGTTTGCCCCTTGACTCGTCATCTAACTTGTTGGACAGATCTACACTTCCTTTGCACATTTCAGGTGATCTGTTTTTTTTTTTTCCTTCTTCCTCAGGAGATGTTTCTGTCACCCCTTTATGTGCTGTTTCTTCGACTAATTCACGGATGCGTATGGCGCTGCCCATTTGGGGTGTCCCCTCTTGTGAGCTTTCCTTTAATAGAGGTGCACTTGATGGACCCCCATACAATCCCACTACTCCCCCTTTTGCGCATGAAAAACGCTCTTCATTCCCATCTTCCAAATGGGCATCCCTTTCATTTTCTATACCTCTGTAACGATCTGATTCATCTTTTCCTCCCACTGGAGATGCCTCAATCTTTCTAGATGAAATCATCCCTATCGCCACATCATATGGGCAGCAACTAACCCTTTCGTGACTGGCTGCTCCGTTTGGACCTTTCGATAAATCTGATTCACCTACATTTGTTCTGTGCCCCTCCCCCGAGGGGTACCCTTCCAAGATATCTTTTCCACCTTCTTTAATTTCTCCATTCGATATTTCCAATTGGTTATCCATATGTCCGACTTGTTCACTTAATTTGGGAGTTCCCCCATTTGGTGCTTTTGCGGTCCATTTCTCCGTCACCTCCGCACCGATTGAGACAAACATATTTTTGCATCCCACTTGTGGAGACTTCCCCCCATTATCTTCGTCTTGGTTTCCACCATGGAGAGAATCCAGAGACAAAAGGCTATGAATCGTATGTAGATTATCTTCACTGCGCTGTGCGGAAAGGTCCCTTCTAGGGTTATACTTCCTAGTTGCTCCATCTACCCTCATCTGTTCTGGTAATCGCTCCTTCTCTACAACACTTATGTTTGTCTCCACTGTATTGTCGATAGTTTCACGTGTACATGTGCTGCTCACGGGAGGGATATACCTCTCGTAGAAAATTGCATCCACAGTTTTATCCTCCTCAGAATTTATCTTTCTTGTCTTTTCTTCCCCATGTAGGTTTTCTCTCAAATGGGCAATGTCCTTGACGAGAGGGGAGCTACTCCGAGGACGGTCTTCTCCATTCGAGGGGATCTCCCTCGTGCTGAGTATGCTTACCCAGTCGGAGTCATCTCCAGGGAAGACATTCCCTCGTCTGTCTTCCCGATCCAGGTGACCTTCACTAACGAGGTTCATCTGGAAATTGGAGCTCCTCACATAACTCTGTTCATATATATCATGTTTCTCGCCATTCTCCATGTAACTACCTGATCTGTTCATGCAATTATTCCTCTTTACTTCATTCAAACCTGGCTGTATTATGAGATTCGTATTCCTTTGCTCCTGCTGCTCTACGTTGCTATGGGGAAAGCTACTTCCCCCCTGCACCATGTCACACACGCTCTTCTCATCATGATAACCCTTCTCCTTGTTTTCTGCACTTCCCCATCTGGACACCTGTTGTGCCCTCACCACGGTACACTCCTTCTGTGCTTCCTCATCCGCGTTCTCATGAGCACCTATACTCGGGACTCTAATTGCTTCCCTGAGGTGGGCTCCCTCTTTAGTCACTCCTCTGGTGCAGAAAATTTCGTCATTTCCACATACGTCCCTATTACACCACGTCCCCAAATTAGTAGAAACTTTATTCACATATTGCTCTCGTTTCGCCGAAATGTGTGCACCCTCCAAAGTGCTTCTCCTTTGGTCACTGCTGCTATTCATGTTAATGCTTCCACGAGATGTACTTCCGTCGTCGGGGTTCCTTTTCTCTTCGAATTTCTCCAGAGGGGGCAGATCTATGCGTTTGCTATCACCTCTACTCTGCTGTTGTGGACTCGGCGCGTTTATGTAGCCACCTGCACAAGTCACATGTATGTGGCTCATTTGGTTCATTTGGGAGCTGTCTTTTTCGTTTTTCTCTTCTGTTTCCTTTCCTTTTGCCTCTCCTTTTGCCTTTTCCTTTTCTTTATCATGTAAATCCTTTTGACTGGACAATAGAATCTCCTGCTCGCTTCCAGGAAGGTTAACTTGTGTGAGGCTCATACTCTTGTCAAACTGGTTCTTGATTTCGGACGCTCCTCTGTCGTGTGCGCTTCTTGTGTCTTCAGTCAGCTTACAATGGGTCCTCCTTTTCTCCCCCCATGGGTTCACCTCCTGTTCTTTGTCCTTCAAGTCAAGGTTAGACGTAAAATTAATTTTCACGCTACTTCCCACATAGTCCTTCTCAACATTGGAGGGGCTCATTTTGTTTGTCTCCTCATTGCTTGTCCTGAGCTCATCACATCGTACGTCTGGTTGGTACTTTCGACTGTCCATGTTAATCGGCTCACTAGATAAACGTTTTTTGCCCAGTGAAACTGTGAATTATTATTTTTTTCTATTTTTATTATTTCTATTTTATTTTCTTTCCCTCATTGGATGTTCCCTGTTATATGTGCGAAGGTGGAAGGTCCCCTCTTGATGCTGCATTCTATAGCGCCTCGCTGGGCGTAAAAATACACCCTAAAGTGACCCAAAAAGGTACTCCCCCCAAAACTCATAGCAACCGGCTGGACTCCTCACTTTACTGTTCAAATCGGGAGGCGTTTCCCCGGAAAGTTAGACAAGGACAGACTCTTTCAGCCAACATGCCAAAAGGCTTCCCCAGAAGAGACTCTACAAATGGCGATGAAGTAAAAACGATGCATCGATCATGACAACTCTGTGGCGGTACCATATCTCCCTTTTGATCCCACCAAATGGGTGAAGGAATTATTTCACTAAACTAAAGAGAAATAGGAAGAACCGTCAAAACAGATACTCAGACTGTGCGAGAAAAAAGAAAAAATTACAACACTTAACGAGGCAGTACTAAAAAAAAAAGAAGAAAAAAAAAAACACAGGAAGTGAAGCGATTAAAACAAACAAGTACTAATAGGGCGTTATGATAAGAGTAATAAGAGAGGTACACTCATGTTTTAGCCATCATACGCTTCCCCTTTTTAAACAACTTCTCCAGGATTTTTTCAAAATTGAGTAATACTGGGGAGCTATTCCGAAGTTGTACTTTGAGTTCTTAGCTAACCAGGTGTTGTAATTAACCATCAAGTGGGACTAAGTTGGGTCTTTTTTTTTTTCTCAATGAAGCCACTAATTTAGATGCACAACTGGCAGATAGCTGTAACTACGAGAATGAAAGGAAAAAAAAATTAGGCTTACCATGAAATATCGTATTTAGGAAAGAAATCACAAATCACAAGTCGACGGAAGAACAAAAGAAGACAACCTTTTTCAAAGTCGAAGTTTCGACAGGTAGTCATAAAGGGAAAGAAAAAAAATTTATATAAAGTTTTGCCTCGGGCGTGAAGTAAATATGATTTCCTCTTCCCGTGGGGGCCACTTTTTTACGACACGTATATACAGACACGCGCAAACATTTTCGAAGGAAAAAAATTCGACTCACAATAATTGGGGGTGACAATCAGGGGCGATAAATAGACGCCTACACAAAACAAAATGAAAAAAAAAATTACAAACTATGGGGAATGACAAAAAAAAGGGTCTTAAGGAACATCCCAATCTGTGAACAGAGGTAACCTCTGCAGGTGGATCTTCACGCTGAGACGTTTGGTTTGTGTGCGACGAGGTTGGTTATGCATGCCGCGACAGGGTGGACGGGCTCCCACTTCTTCCTTTCAAGAGCCGACAAAAAGAAGGAAAAAAGAAAAAAGAAAAAGAACACAAAAAGTCAGCAACAAAAGGATAGCAAAACGCGACCATAAACAAATAGAAAGCACAAAAAGGTGACCAACAAGTGATCAATGTAACACACAAATGGAACAGAACAAATTAGCAGGCTGCGGACTCAACCAAGCTCCTGCGCAAATCACCCTTATAGACACATTTAAAAATTCAATGTTCCTACCCCAATGGGGCTCTGTCCGCGCTGCATAGGGCAGGGGCGCACGTATTGGCACAGGCACGCACACACAAAGACTCATACACATACATACACACCTATAAGTGCAGAGACCCATGTGCGATTGCAACCTTGTCGGCTGTCTCACAAAAACATACCCAAGCCCCTGGGCAAAATGTCAAATAAAAAAATGAAGAAATAGTCGCTAGGTTATTTCCCTTCCAAAAAAACGCTTCTTTATAAAATCCAAAAATTTCTATTGCGAACAAGACAAGGCTGACTAGGTATGCATACACATATTTACAAACAAAAAAAGAAAAAAGAAAAAAATAACCTAATTAAGCATACCAAAACAAAGCTCGACGGGGGAACCTTTCTTTCGTTTTCACTTACTAAGGTGTAGCCCTTCTCGCCCATACAGTCTAAACTAAATGTGAATAGAAAAAATCCACAAAGTTGTCTCACAGACAGATTGGAAGCACCTTTGGGCCTAACACTTCCAAAGTGACCGCAAGGTTGAGCGAT